CCTGTGCACTTCTTACCTGTTTTCTACACAATGGTATGTAGCTGTATATTCTCAATTATTCCTTTCTTCAAACTACTCCTGAGATCAGTCAAATGCCCTTTTTTGCCTGAATCACACTTCCCTCAGTTATATCTCACTGCCACGTTCAAAATTTGCCAGTAATTCTGTGCTCCCACAGCTTGACAGATTTACTAACAGATTGGTACCAGGCTTACTGTTTAATAGGCCAATTCTTTAAAAAAAAAAAAATGGAGTGGCAGATACCTTCTGATTTGAGCATGCTTAGATCTTTCAGTTTTGTTTTGACTTCATATATGTCCATTCCATTTCAAAATTTTCCTTTGCATTCACTCTGCAACCTTTCTCTTTACACTCAACTGCTGCATTTTTACTGAAAACTAAAGCAACACATTCAGTTCATTTTGGGGGTTATATCTCAAGTTCTATCCTGCCTATTCTGCACAAAAATAATCATTGTTATTTGCTTATTTTTGTTGAACAAAGGACCCTTTGCTCTTTGCTTTAAGAAAAAAAACATAAAGTCTGTGTGACTCAGTCTAACTTTTGACAATTTTCTCTCTTCTTGACTTCGAAAATGCAGTCTTATTCATGTGTATTTAGATTCTTTTTAATAGAAGAATCTCTACATAATGCAAGTTTTCTTCTGGTATCCTTGTCTGCCCAGTAATATCTGGAGCTTTTTACAGATTTTGTCTGTTTGTCACAAGTCTGCGGTTGAAAAGTATGTTCTGTGTCCATGGGAGACCTCAGGTTTGAAAGGAAAAGGAAAGGAATGAAAGCTGTTAGATTTTTTTTTTTTAATTCCCAAGCTACAAAGAATAATAATAATATTAAAAAAAAAAAAAAAAAAAGACTAGAAGTTCAAATATATATGTACATACATGTATATGGATAAAACATACAGTTTACGGCATTTTCTACCTACTTCAATCATTTTTATTTAATCTAAATGTTCATAATATTATTATATGAGAATGTCATTTTTAAAGTGTTTCAAATCTCATTTCTGAATCACCAGCACTTTTACCAAGACAGAAATTGCAGGGACTTTTCCTGGGTTTCTTTTCCAGTAAAGAAATTCACAAAGCTGCCCTTTGCTAATAAGCTCCAGTTTGGAAAAATAAACACTTTTTACTGGAGAAAAGAAAAACTTGCCTGTGATCAAAAATTTTCCATCCAAATAATTTCTCCTGAGTTTTATTCCCCAGAGCTGCATTATAATGCAGTGTCATAATAAGCCACTACCTTCTGTCACTTGGCTGTCCTCTTCATTTGACATAATGCAAGTTCATTATACACTGTAGTGTTCAGGTTCTGAGGGATTTAATCATATAAACAAAGGTATAATAAGTGTAGCAACTTGGCTTCTGGCAGCCCCACCATTCTATATTCTATCCAGTTAAAGTGATGTGGATGTGTCAGTGTTAAATGAGAGGTATCTGTGTAAATGGAGAAGGCTGGAGAAAAATAGGTTCTTTCTCTTGAGGGGTCATGTACAAGTATATATCAGATGCTGACAGGATTAATACTGGGATAGATGGAATGTCTTTGGAAGATAAGCAAGACCAAGTTTCTAGCCAGTTGCTGTCATTAAGGTTCCCAGCTCATAGACACTTTCTACAAATGATCCTCTTCAGTCTTTGACCAGTCCTAAAGCAGCAGTTACATCCCACTGACCTAACTTTCCATCACATTTCTACCTGCAAGGTACCTTTGCCAAAGCCTTTCTGCACAGCAAAGATGTGATTTTTAGAAGTCATCGTCCTTTGCTTCTGAGCTAATTATACCCAACTAGAGTGAAAAAGGTTGTTCAGTTAGTGACATGCATAATGCTCAGTTTCACTTCTGGTTGTAGAAGCTTCAAAATAGTCTTAATAACTTTGTGTATGATTTCATAATGTCTAATTTCAGTGCACGTATTTTCCAACACTTGTCTGCTCAGTCTCTCCTTTTTTCACTGTAGGCAAAAAAAAGAATGTGGAACTCCAAGTGAAATTTATAACATGTCCATTCTTTCCATGCTCCATAGAACAGGTGATAACACAGTACAGAAGTTCTCACATCATATGGAGTCAATGTGCTTTACTGATGGTGAACCAAGCACATTTTGAAATGTAAGGTTCTTCTTCCAGACCTTCTCAGTGGAAGCTGTAAGTCTCATGAGAACAGTGACTTAGCAGAAAGAGTACCCTTATTTTTACCATTGTTCAGCTCCTAAATAAAATAAGCTGATAGCTCTTGCTTCCTGACAGATAGTAATTTATGTGTTGAAACTTAAGACCAATAACTCATAATCTGTACCACTCGACCATTTCTGGTCAAGAAAGTCTGAAGTGCGAATTCACATGGAGGCTGAATTATCTCTGGCCCCATGAGAAATAGTCCCTCCAGGTCATGGTTGAGGTCATTGTTGGAGTGTTTTCTAAAAGCTTGTCAGTATTCAGAGCTTATTGTTTGCTTGTTCTTGGGGGATTTAACCCTGCAAAGTGCTGAGCACTTCTGATAGATACTGAGCACTGTCAACTTTCATTTGGATTAAGATAAAACTGAGGACACTCAATCTGTCTTGAAAAATGTTTAGCATTTTGTAAAATTGAACCTTGACTGACTTTCTTTTTCCCCTTTATAGTCCCTAAAGACTCTTAAATTTAATTACAAAAATTCTGTTAAAGCTCAGGCAGAATGGACACTAGTACATGCCAATGGTATTTAAAACTGTCTGTCAATGGAATATTGAATTGCTCAATCTAGATTTTAATAGCTTTTTCTGAATCAGTAAAAATAAATTATTTAAATCCCATGTAATGTAAATGTAATTAAAATGTACTTTACATGCAAGAAAGTGCATGCAGAAATTGTTGGATATCTGTCCTGTACTTAGGGGGGAAAAAGACGTTGGGCTTAGGAGTTCTTTTAAAAAGTCTAGCAAGGGCTTAACATTTCTCTATGCACTCCTTGAAATCAGAGATAACCAAATACTGAGATAAGTGGATAGCTCCTTTTTGTTGTTGTTTTTAATTCAGTGAAGGCCTCCCAGTGCATATTCCTGTTGGGGTTGACGAATAGCTCCTTTGGGATGCTGTAGGCTCTGCTCAATGTACTTATGGAATACCTTCCATTTACACAGGCCACATTTTTCTTGATCAGCCCATGAGGATCAGGGGAAAGTCAAAGAAGCAGCAATTGTCAAAATCGTCAAAAGTTAGACTGAGTCACACAGACTTTATGTCTTTTTTTTTTTTTTTTCTTTTTCACTTAAGCACAGTTGTTTTATGCTCTGTTTTATGATTGTGGCTAACTGAACTCCCTGGGATTCAGCCTGGCCTTAACCCTAGAAGATAACAACCCCCCAAACCCTAAAGCCATCCAATAAAAGGGTCCATTAACCATTAACCATTACCTTTCCTTTTTAGATGAGGCAGTCACACTCCTTATGGAAGACTTACTACAAATTAATAGGAAGAAAGGTGGTCTTCCAGCCTAGCCCACAAAACAGCAGCATTTTTGATGCACTTTTTCATCTCTAGTTTTAACATAGCCTCCAATGCTTTTTGTTTTCTTTACAAGACCATTGGCAGCAGACCAGTGCACTGCAATGACAGCCCTAAATCTTTGTAGCACATACTCAGATCATGTGAGTTAGCCTGGAGTTGTACTTCTCCCACATGGACATCTATTTTTTCAGACCTATCTGATGACTGAAAAACAGTGGCTGTGTGGTGAAAGTCACCTACAACTGGTGAGAAAGGGATGTAGGCTAGACTTGCTAAACTGAAGGTGCCTTTCATTATGCTCCCTTCACCTTCTCCACTGACAGTACTATTCCCCTGGGTGACTGCAAATCACCGCAGGACAAATGACCACTGGGACCTGATTTTGTAGATCTTCATAGACTTGCTGCATACAGAAAGACATCTCTCTGGAAAGCATCAAAAGATGAAACTACGTAGCACTTACTATTTGTAAAGTCAGAGGGGAAGGGAAAAGATTGTCTGTTTCTCACTTAATAGGTATTCAGTAAACTGTAATAACACTGAGGATCAAGACACATTTCCTGTAAAAATGAACCTATTTCTGAGCATAAAAGATTCAGTTTCTTAACTCAGATTGTCTACATATGTTCTGACTTTGCATGTTGTAAATAAAACAGTATTATACTGCAGACTATCCCAAGTGTTATTCCTGCTGTTTTACATCAGTTATCTGCTGGCTAAATTTGGGGTTCTTTCATGACTGCCTTAGAAAATAGATCTCCTGACATTTCTGGGTATCTGGAGGCCAAGTCAAGTGGCCAAATTCTGTCCTCAGCCACTGTCACAACACTGCATTGTCTCCAAAGGACTTGCACAGGAGCAGTGCAATTTCTGTCCAAAGTGTAAGACAGTGGCTTTTGCCTGTCCCTGACCATCTGTCAAAACTTATTCATAATGAACTATGATTCAAAGTAATCTGTAAACTGTATCCCTCCCATGATATAGATGTAGATTAACAGTGGCATCCCTGTTTTACAGTTGGAGGTCTGTATTCATTGTAAGAGAGTGAGATAACCAAGTGCATGCAAGTCACCAGTACATATTATTAAGGGTCAGAACTTCAAATAATGTAGCTCAGCTTAGAGTAACAGTACTATATAGTACTAATAGTTATAGAGGAAAAATGAAAAGGAGATGAATGCACATTTCCTTCCTGAACTCCTTTCCAGTGAGTGGGAGGTTCACATAGTCCATGATAAATGGCTTGCAAGGTTTGAGGTAAGGAAGAGTCAGACTCAGTCAGAGTGGCTGAGGCTGTTTTTTTGTTTGTTCTTGCCTTCTTGCAGCAAAATTCATGCTTTATTTCTTAAAATCACTCTACCTTAAAACAATGATATTCCCCTGTTCTCAGAAGCTGATAATGCTTGATGCTGTGTTCTTTCTATGGCACATTACAGTTCTGGATGCTTATTATTAATCATCATCTTTCTTAATTGTGTTACATAGGAACTGTTTGATGACCTGTGGCAAGTGGAGTAGATGTTCTACGCACTGTTTGCGATTAAACATCTAATTCATAGTAGCCCACAGTGTGAGGAACAGCTCACAGATGGTTCCAGATGGTCCTTTCCAGTTCTGTGTCTTATTATGGTTGATGGGTACCAACAGCAAAAGGTAACTGGCAATCTCTGTAACATTTCTTCTGTTGAACAACAAACCTCTTTGATCTCCTTTGAAAGAAAGAAGGAAAATTATGTTATTTGAAATCAAATGCATAAATAAAGAGTGAAATAGAAGGTTAAAAAGAAATAGTATGAAAAGGAATGAAAATATTGTTATAGTTGGTTAGAAGGTTCTTACTACTGTATTTTTATTATCTTGTGTTGAATAGCAGTGTTTTGCTCTGGCTACCAAACCAAGAGCTCACCAAAGGTTTTCATTCTTCAAGCAATATCTAAAAAATGTATTAACTTTTTTCCGGTATTAGATTTAAATTGCAGCACCCCATGAATAGGAAAGTGTTAACATTTTCCAAAACCATACACATGTGAATCTATATCTGTATCTTCACTGATATCTATGTCTTGTTAATGACTTGCATATGAAACACTGCATATCTTGCAAAATAAACATGACGTTTTTGCTGCTGCTTAAATACGCCACACTTACGTTCCTACGTGCTTTACATACCATGTGAGTGCACTCTGACGCAGAGGAGTGAAGCAACCTGGTAGGGGGAAGCTTCAGACCAAAGGGGCTCACTGAAATGCAGAAGTGAGAGGACACCAGATCTCCTCCAGGAAAGATCACAGGCAACTTCTTTGCAACAAGTAACTTGTGCATAATAACAACACTAATTAATTATTCCAAGTGTACCGCTCATCCATGTTGGGCAGGGACATGCAAAATATAACCTGGTTAATAAGGCTAAGGTAGAATTGAAGAGCTCATTTTCCACATAGTGTGTAAAAGTGTTTCATGCTCCTTTAGTTATTAGTTACGGGGATAAGGATCCAATTAAGCCCATATATGCTTGGGCTTTAGCTTAGGGAAGCTAATTTGTCTTCGGTTTCTGTGACTGTAGTTGTATTAAGCTTGGGGCTGAGCAAAACTCTAACCCCAGAATTAGGGAGATGTGTTTGGACTTTGAATTCAGACCAGAATTTTGTGGCTCAGGCCCATCTCTGCAGTAAGAGGTTGCATGGCTATGGGTGAATGGTGGTGAGTATGTTGGTGCATGTGACTGCATATTTAAGAGTTTGAAACAAGAGCGGAGGAAGGAAACAAGACCAATCTAGTGCTTTTGCCAGATCAGAATTTCCTTTCAATAAAAACTCTCTACTAGTGTCACTCCAGAATATTTAAAGAAAATAATTTCCTGTGTGCCAGCACTTACAAGGAAAATCTCTAGCCAGTGGGTTAGAAACTAGTATCAAGCTTGTAATTTATCAGTTTCATCTAGTCCAGTGTCTCAGAACTGGAAAAGAAAGGGCAAATCATGACAGAGTTGTCTCCTGGCACTCTGAAAACATATGGCAAATGGGAGACAGTGCTCTCAAAATTAACTTAATTTTCCCTGAAGAGTAAACATTCTGGACCAAATCTGTGATTCAGACCTATTCATCAAGGCATCTTACAAACGGTAAATTTGGACCTACTATGTATAAATGCATTTTCATTTTCAGTATTTCAGCCTGCAGAGTATTCAGCTGGAGATAAAACATTGGATTTTTTTTCCCCATTTGAATAAGTAATGGAGAAAGAATCTTTAATCTTGCTTCTTTTTTCTGTCATGGATTTCATACATTGGATTTTTTGGTTTTCTTCTCAGTCTGTCAAGGTCTCAAAAATGACCTTGACAAGTGATTTTTCTCACTTCTTTTGAGTGTGAATAATCCCAGTTATTTCTGTGTTGATGGTTTGTTTTTATTATGGATTTCCTTGAGCCTAAGAAGCTTGAAATAGCAGCTTTTATCTTAAAATGTTTAAACTTGATTGAGTCACAATAAGTCTGTAGCTGTCTGGATATGTAGATACGTATCTGTTCTTGGCACCTATTCGGCCTTCGTTGATGCGGTCCTCAAGCATCTTGCAATCCTCACAGTGCCCCTGGCAGGGAAGCTTTTGCAGATGGAAGGCTGAAGCGTGGCACAGAGTGAGTGACCCATTCAAGGACTCCCGGGAAGTCCAAAGAGCAAGTTCGTAGCAACATCCACTAGGTCAAACTGGTGTCTCCTCTCACCACATAATCAGTTGCGGGAACAAAAAGAAGCAACCTGTCTTACTATATTTTAACCTGGTTTTGAGTTAAATTTGGCCCCTCATAGCACTGATAATGACTTTAAAAAGATTTAGCAAGGAGAATATTCTTGAAAAAAAATACATCTATACAATCAAGTCATTAGCTAAGGGCAATTTCTCTTAGCAGGCTGTAATAAAACCAGGCTGATTAAGCTTCAGGGACTTGCATAAAGCAGTTCTGTCTTTACGGAGTGACTTAAAAGAGTCAGTGAGGCAGCAGATCCACACCAGTGAGCAGCTGCAATGAGAAACAGTGACAATCCTTTGCCTGCAAGCGTTGAAAGAAACTTCTTTGTATTTCAACTGAGACACATTTCTAGCTGGCCTATCAACCAGTGCCACGTTGTTTGTTGATGTTCATATGTATGTGAATCCAGGAGTTTAACCCATATGTAAACTGATATAACCCACCCGCCCTGATAACAGAGCTATTAAAAGAAGGCAAAGGATTAACAGGGCAGTGTAAAGAGGAAGGTGGTGATCTGCTGAGGCTGTCAGCGAACAGGTCCTGCAATGGCTGGCTTCACCTGAAACTTTGAGTCTTTACAAGACTTGGTCCAAACTAACCTACCTGTCTGTACCTTACTGTTCTGCGGCATAAAATGGGAACAAGGATGCTTTCTCTATACTTACACAGTGCTGTGGATTGTGGAGCTATCTGGTTTGGAAGGGACATCTGGAGGGCCCTCCTGTGTGGAGCAGGGCCAGCTCTGACATCAGGCCCAGTTCCAGGGCTAGATCGTACCGCTCAGGGGCTCTGAGGTCACTGGAAGCAGAGGACCTGCTGACCACCAGAGCCCAAGGATGTCCCTCCCCACCCTCCTGGTACATACCAGCTTTGGGGATAGGGGGAGGTGACTGTTTTGGGGAGAGCGTGTGGGTCTTTTGCACCTTAGTGCCTGATGCAGGCATGTGGGGGATGCAGCTGGCACCCAGGGTGCTGTGGAAGGATAGGGTTTGGAGCTGCACCCCAGGAGCCCCCCGGCTGCCTCCTTGCTGCACAGGGGCCGTGCACATCCATCCCGGCAGCAGTATGGCCGGAGATTCAGCCTGGAAACTCACAGCCTCCAGGAATAAAAGAGGGCGTGAAATCTTACTACTCTTAAATTCCAGCCGGGGGGAAGCCGGACGTATCCCTTCGGCAAAGAATCAGGCCTGCACGGTTCAAAAGGAAAGAGAAAAGGGAAGGAAGCTGCTGGCGGACTGCAGCCTCCCCCCTCTCTCTGCCCGGCGGCTGCCTCTGCCCTCTCGGAGCGCGCTGGGACTCCCCGGAGGGGGGGCCCGATCCTGTGCGCAGCGCTAATTAATTAGCAGGCGGCGCTGATTGCGGGCACTGCCCGCCTTTAGCCGGTGCTGGAGCGCCCTCTCCTGGAGCGGGGACCCCCGCAGCCTGCGGGAGGGGGCTGAGCATCTGCACCTCGCCGGCCCTGGTGGCCCAACTGTCCCCAGCAGCTCCCCCAAAGTCGTTTCGTCCCCCGTTGTTTGCCGTCCGGGGGGGGCTGGGGAGGGGGGAGGTTGACTTTTCTCGCACCTTTTTCCATCTCTGACCTCGCCGGTATTTTGCGGAGATAGGCATTAGCCTGGGTTTGCCCCCTCAGTCTCGCTAAATCTCCGTGCCTGGGAAGGAAGCAGTGTTTTGAGTCGCTAGTTCTTGCCAAAGACCTGGTTCTGATGGGCTGTGGTGCTTCAGGGAGGCCCAGGACTGGTTAATCCGAGGAATTCAATGCTGATTAAATATTGGCATATATGGAGATCCTTCAGGAGCAGCATTATGATGGATTTCTTGGCTGAGAGGAATTAATTTGTGTATCTCCCTGCTTTGACACTGTAACTGTTATCAGAGGATGCATAACTCATAAGGTTATACTCAGAAACTAGAGTAAAGATCTTGCAACAGTCTGGGTCTAAGTATGATTTTCATTCATTTAAGTACCTTCTACTAGGTTCAATGAGCTGTAATCCAGTGGAGAATTTTGTTTTTTTCCTTTAAAACATTCCACAAGGGATTCTTCAGCCTCTTATGGGATGAATCCCAGCAAGATAGGAAGTGCATGAACCACAGTCATTTACTGCAGGGACCAATAAAGACTGAGAGCATCAGGAAAAAAGAATGACTTCTATACAGCTGTGCAAGAAATACCTGGATGGCCAGAAAAGGAAATTGCTCTGTTCTTGGATGCACACTGCTGTCATGTGTTTGGGGAAGCTGGGTCAAATGAGGCAGGAAAGTTCCTCAGAGTCAGAGCAGCCTTCATGCTTGCCATTCAGTTCTCAGATCAAACGTCTCACATACTGTCTGCTACTATCTGGAGTCTGGCTCCCGACTTTGTTTTGTTCTCCCAAAGATCCAGGGAGAAGTCAGTAGTTGTGTAAGGCTGGAGATGCCATGTGGTATGCAAGGGAGTGGGAAAAAAAGCAAACCTTTGGCTTACAGGCCACAGAGTTGACATAGACTGAGGTTGTGGGCCAGCCACAATTGTCTTGGGACTGCTGTTCTCTTCTGCTGGCACGTCATCTGCCTGCAACAATGTGCTGACTGAGCTTGCTTGTCTATTGTAGCGCTTATCCTACCACTCCTTTGCCTTGTAGAGCACTTTTACATTTCAGTTGTGGATCGTTGCTCTAGTCTTGTTTCTGCCCCTTTTCACTCAAGGCAGGAACAGAAGCAAAGAGATGTTCTTCCAAGCACAAATACCACCCTAGGGTGTGAGTATGTGCTCTTTGTGATCCTTGCTGGTTTTACCAACCTGTGAGTCTTTCTTTTGTATTCACAAAGTTCCTGTCAGCACAGTATTTAAGCTTTGGTTGTGGTATTTCATTATCCAAAGGAGGGTCACCCAGACAGCCCTCCTCCCACAATAACCAGACTGCAC